GTAATGACGCATTACAGGCTGAGAGAGGCTGGGTGGGGGGGTGGTACCAGGAGCGGTGGATTCTTCTTATCATACCCATCCAGTATAGTGCAGAGGACTGTATAGATCATGTCTGATGGCGGGGGCAGGGGGATCATGGGAGGTGTGCAGGGGGAGCAGAGTGACTCACTCTCCCCTCTGGACCGCGCGATGCCAGGAAACTTTCAGCTTTCTTCTTCTGGTCAGACGGGTGGGGTGTTGTTGCCATTCCATGAAGTATTTTTGGCCTTATGTTTATACAAGTTTGCTGTTCCATATTTCTACTTTGTATTTCATATAATAAAATGTCGCTCCCCCTAGTGGCTGTCTGTGTCTCTGCAATCACTCATCACTGCGCCGCAATAATACGCAGGAGGTGGATTCCAGGGGGATGAACATGATCAGGGGACTGAGGGATCGGGGAGTTGAGGGATCAGGGAGTTGAGGGATCGGGGAATTGAGGGATAAGGGAGTTGAGGGATCAGGGAATTGAGGGATCGGGGAACTGAGGGATCAGGGGACTGAAGGATCAGGGAATTGAGGGATCAGGTGACTGAGGGATCAGGTGACTGAGTGATCAGGTGACTGAGGGATCGGGGGACTGAGGGATCAGGGGACTGAAGGATCAGGGAATTGAGGGATCAGGGGACTGAGGGATCGGGGGACTGAGGGATCGGGGGACTGAGGGATCAGGGAGTTGAGGGATCAGGTGACTGAGGGATCAGGGAGTTGAGGGATCAGGGAATTGAGGGATCAGGTGACTGAGGGATCATGGAGTTGAGGGATCAGGGAATTGAGGGATCAGTGGACTGAGGGATCAGGGAATTGAGGGATCAGGGAATTGAGGGATCAGGTGACTGAGGGATCATGGAGTTGAGGGATCAGGGAATTGAGGGATCAGGGAATTGAGGGATCAGTGGACTGAGGGATCAGGGAATTGAGGGATCAGGGAATTGAGGGTTCAGGGGACTGAGGGATCAGGGAATTGAGGGATCAGGGAATTGAGGGATCAGGGAGTTGAGGGGTCAGGGAGTTGAGGGATCAGGGAGTTGAGGGATCAGTGGACTGAGGGATCAGGGAATTGAGGGTTCAGGGAGTTGAGGGCTCAGGGGACTGAAGGATCAGGGAATTGAGGGATCAGGGAATTGAGGGATCAGGGAGTTGAGGGATCAGGGAGTTGAGGGATCAGGGAATTGAGGGATCAGGGGACTGAGGGATCAGGGAATTAAGGGATCAGGGAATTGAGGGATCAGGGAGTTGAGGGATCAGGGAATTGAGGGATCAGGGAGTTGAGGGATCAGGGAATTGAGGGATCAGGGAGTTGAGGGATCGGGGAACTGAGGGATCAGGGGACTGAAGGATCAGGGAATTGAGGGATCAGGTGACTGAGGGATCAGGTGACTGAGGGATCGGGGGGACTGAGGGATCAGGGGACTGAAGGATCAGGGAATTGAGGGATCGGGGGACTGAGGGATCGGGGGACTGAGGGATCAGGGAGTTGAGGGATCAGGTGACTGAGGGATCAGGGAGTTGAGGGATCAGGGAATTGAGGGATCAGGGAATTGAGGGATCAGGTGACTGAGGGATCAGTGGACTGAGGGATCAGGGAATTGAGGGATCAGGGAATTGAGGGTTCAGGGGACTGAGGGATCAGGGAATTGAGGGATCAGGGAATTGAGGGATCAGGGAATTGAGGGATCAGTGGACTGAGGGATCAGGGAATTGGAGGATCAGGGAATTGAGGGTTCAGGGGACTGAGGCATCAGGGAATTGAGGGATCAGGGAGTTGAGGGATCAGTGGACTGAGGGATCAGGGAGTTGAGGGATCAGAGAATTGAGGGATCAGGGAATTGAGGGATCAGGGAATTGAGGGATCAGGGAGTTGAGGGATCAGGGAGTTGAGGGGTCAGGGAGTTGAGGGATCAGGGAGTTGAGGGATCAGGGAGTTGAGGGATCAGTGGACTGAGGGATCAGGGAATTGAGGGTTCAGGGAGTTGAGGGCTCAGGGGACTGAAGGATCAGGGAATTGAGGGATCAGGGAATTGAGGGATCAGGGATTTGAGGGATCAGGGAATTGAGGGATCACGGGACTGAGGGATCAGGGAATTGAGGGATCAGGGGACTGAGGGATCAGGGAATTGAGGGCTCAGGGGACTGAGGGATCAGGGAATTGAGGGCTCAGGGAACTAGGAATCAGAGACAGGGGATGGGGAATTGGAGGATCGGAGGTGGAAGCTGGAGGATCAGAGGTAGGAGAGGGTGGATTGGAGGATCATAAGAGTGGAACTGGGGGAATGGGGGAGGGAGATTGGGCGGAGTTTGGTATTTCCCCATGTAGAAACAAGGACACCAGCGCTGCAAGAAGTTTTGGAGTCCCGGTGTCCCTGTTTCTACATATGGATGTAACGGTGGCCATCCGGTGACTACCGCAGCACCTCTCCTGTCTTTTGTGGAACAAGTGGTCCGGCGTGCGATGGGTTCACAGACTTTCGTTTGGTGTTTCCGCATTTCAGGAAGTTACACCGCAGACAGAAGATGTAGCGGCACTATACAGAGAGGAGGATCTCCTGATCCTGGACATGATGGTCCATTGTCTTGGATCTCACTGAGGTGCTGCACAAGGCACTAACCTAGCCATGGGCATTGGTCACCTTCATCTGGACTACAACCCTGACCTGCCGTATTATAAAGGGGCCTCCAGGTAGAGGTTTGTCCTCCAGATATAGGAAGGCTTCTTCATAGTACGAGCTGTAAAATGTAGAGAAGACCTCCTCAGGAGAAAGTTCTAACCAACGTTGTGGATCAGCTTTTCTCAATCAAGGTTCCTCCTGAGACTTCTCGGGGTTCCCTGAGCGATGACCAATTTCCAACTCTCAGATAACCAATAACGGCAATTATCGATTTCCATATCTGTAGGCGGAGCACTCAGTGTAACGGGGCCCCTCTCCCAGTGACAACC